CACTTAACAAGAGTTCAGGTTATATCTGCTATTTGTCCCATTGTATCTTTTGAATTTTGCATCGGAGGACAGAAAATTTCCTGCATGTTGTTTATTGTAGTAAGTAGGATTCAGAAAAAAAAAATTATGCACAAAAGTTTTATAACTTTGTACTGTTTGATAAATATTATTAAAATTTTGTATGATTTGAGGTTTTCACAGCGGTGAGTATGAAGATTTCTTTCTTCTGGGTTGTTACGTTGTGTAGTGTGGTAGATGTTCATCGCCCTGATGACGGAGGCAGTATGATCTCTGAAACGTTGGTAAACATCTACCAGACAACACAGCACAACAACCCAGAAGACAGAAATCTTCATACTCATCGCCCTGATGATGGAGGCAGTATGACCTCTGAAACGTCGGTAAACATCTACCAGACAACACAGCACAACAACCCAGAAGACAGAAATCTTCATACTCATCGCCCTGATGATGGAGGCAGTATGACCTCCGAAACGTTGGTTAACATCGACCAGACTACACAGCGCAACAACCCAGAAGACAGAAATCTTCATTATTAGAATTATTTTTTCCAGGAGAATGTGGGAATGTGCAAAACTTTGGTCGTGAAACCTGAAGACACCACTTGGTAGACCTAAGTGTGGATGGCAAAGCCATGTTAAAATCTGTACAAAATACTGACCAACAGGGTTTGGACTGGGTCAATCTGCCTCAGAATAGATTACACGGTAGTGAATCTTCCAGCTTCATAAATAGTCGGTAAATTTCGTGACCAACTTAACATTTATTCTCTTATGAACGACTGTGCTTAGCGGAATTGGTTTATAGTTCTAAACTAGTTCTAAGTAACAAAAATGTTGGCGTAGAAAGGGCTACATTATTACAGAACTGTACATTAGTTTGATATGTCAAACTGTCTCGTGGGGTTATCGTACCGAATGATCGTCTCTGAGAGAATTACGTGGGGGTTGGTACTCTTGCAAAGTTTTTTTTACAATTTATTGCTGCGATGGGGTGTGACAATTTCTCTGTGGAACAGGGTCGCTAACGGGTTCATCCCCTGCGTGATACGTCAGTGAAGATGGAAAAATGCGGAATAATATTGGCAGGATAAGACAGATCTCTGAGAGAAACTTGTCCCAGTGTCACTTCGTCCAACAGGGAAGTCATATGGACTGATTTGGGTGCGAACCGGGTTTCCGCTATGAGAACCCGGTGGTTAATTGCCTAAGCTATGTATCAACCTTTACTAGTACGGGGAAACATCCCAAAATATGGTTAAATTCCTATTTCATAATAGGAGACAAAACCACGAGCCAAGGATTCAGTTGGCAGTACAACTGCGCGCGCAGCATGATGGGCTCTGAACTCACGCAGATGAATGTGCTCGAGATATCGTTACGGAGATTTGTATTGACAATTGAAAGTCGAGAGGTGAACCGAGGGGAATACCCGCTTGTCATTGAGGTCACGTGTCGTTAGGACAGTTTGTATTACATATTGCGGGGTGGAGGGGCCCTGTTTTACCTTCGTCTCTCCTGATTCACGTCTTTATATGAGTCATTGCCACTTCTGACATACGTCATCATTTTAATCACATGACTCCAGAGGACTCTTCTGAAAGAAATTAAATTATACTCTGAAGTTTCGCGATGAATGGCCGAAGTGAGTATTTGTGTCCCCACTGCTACTGTGAGGAGTGGCCCACATCGGCTTGTTAATCGCAACGAGTCATTAGTATTTCCGTTTCCTATTTTGGAGGTACCGCGTTCGGATGTCGGCCCAGAGAGCGGCTGTTCTGGCTGAGGTTTGTGTGGTTAAGTAAACTACGCAGTTGACTTTTCCAACTGAGTTTTATCCAAGAATGGCAAATGAGTAGTTCTGAGTTCGAAGTATGTTCTTTTGTTATTCAAGTCGAGGGTAAGTGTAATGACACATTTTTAATCTCTGTTTAGAGTGGCATAAGGGAGACTTGTATCTGTAGCAGTGATATTGTTCTTCCATCGTAATTTGAATGGAAACCGTTTGGATCCTCTGAGAAATTTTCTAAAATTACAAGTTTAACTCGCTTTGGGCCGGGATTTAAATACGTGGACGGCCAGATGAACGAATTTCATTTCCATTGCTTACTTCAAGTAAAACATATTCAAAGAAAATCCGGTATTCTAGCGTTATAAACTCCCCTTCCTTTTTTGTCTGCAGCGACGCTGTTAGGAATTTTGTCAAAATAACGTCGATACCCTCACTTTCACATATTAACAAAATCTTTTTGTCCTGCAACCGGGCAGCCCAATTACAGTTTAATGAACAAAGATGTCGCGTCCAAAAACGTGTATCTACACCCATGATGTTTATTTAATCGTATGTTTTTTGGTAGAACTTTGTGATATTTTACTTGTATCGGGGAACTAGGTTGATAAACTTAGAAGTTTGCTTTGGTTCGTATTGAAGTGAATTCTGAGGTAAAATATCAAATTCTGATCGTCAAAACCCTAGGAGAGTCTGTAATGAAAACAAACACTGATTCTATATTGGCTTGTTCTAATACGAATGAAGCCTAATGAATCACCTGTTTTCTTGTCGTACGTAGAGAGGCCGTATGCTCATAAGGGTTGAGAGATTGAGAGGGTTGGTTTCACATGAGGGACTGAAGGGTAGTTTTTTTTTATTGTAGGACACTTGGATGTTCGATCCGTAACTGTACAGTCACAGAATTTTAAAAGAAGACTCTCTCCCAAGTCGTCAGAATTAGAGATTATAGTTCGATGGCTTATGTAAAACTTTGCCATATTGGTCCTTTAACAGCCTATTAGTAACATTGCCAACACGATGGTCGTATGGGCTTGTGAGTTTGGATCAACACTAGCGCCGCTCAGTTAATGCGACTTGAAACAACACCATCATCATTAACTGTAGATGAGAAGTGCGCTGGTCGGTAGAATAGTGTGCTGATGTTATGTATTGTAATTGTTTTTTTTTTAGTGTTCTGTCTGACGACAGGTCTTACATTACATTCAGCTACCACAGACCCATCTTAAGCAGAACTAATTCAAGTTGAATAAGCAAAGCCCCCCCCCTTTTTTTTTTTGTTCTGTCTGACGACAGGTCCATATGAACAGGCTCCTTCCATCCTTTTCTCGGACTGGGGCCTGTTCATATACGTTCTTGGCAGATGATCCAGAAGTGGTTTGCCATTGCCTTCTTCTGTGTGTGAATGGAGTAATTGTTGGGATGCCACGGAGGAAAACTCCGTGTTGCCTAGACCACCGCCTTGCCCAACACAAGTTATAAATTCGGTCACCGCCGGGAATCGAACCAGAGACCCCAGGATTACAAGGCCAGCGTGGCGGTAATTGTAATTGTACGGAAGATAATGTTATCATTTTTGTTTTGAGGTAATACATTGTGGACTCGATTCAACTGGCCTAGGACAGTGGCCAGTGGCGTGGTTTTCGGAACGTGGTGTGGACCTTCGGGTTCCGTCTAGTTGGTTGGTGGGCTCACTGTTTGTCGTCCGGGTGTGTACTTGGCGACGGTAACAAAGGGTGGCAGTTTGTAGAGGGTCGCATTGTCTCCCCACCGCATCGTACAATGCCCCAGTTCGTCGTGTGGTCGCGCCTGGCGGCTAGTGAGAGAGCCTGTGCCTTCAGTTTTACAACTGCAGCGTTAAACTTACGTCATTTAGAGCCGAGACTTGCCGAGTTTAATTTAGAAAATTAACGCTTTGTTTGTTCTTGAGTTTGCAATGTAGGTTTTTACTTTTATTGATAAATTAAGTTGCTTGAAGTATCAGGAGGTAAGAAGATGGCTGTCTTCTGGGTTGTAGCGCATTGTAGTTTGATGATGGAGTCAGCAAGGACCTCTGAAACGTCTGTAAACTTCTACCAGACCGTCGTGAAAACCTCAAATCCTAGCGGATATTATCAAACACTAATATGTTTACAGTGGAAGTAGCTTCTTGGAGGAAGACATAGGAAATACTTATGCGGAAACAGCCTGGAAGTCCGGAAGAAGTATATTTCGCTCTACCCCTTGTTGAATTCGGGTAAACAAACCTGCCATACACACATGCCGGGACATGTTACTGAGCTACAAGGCGACTACATTTTTCACAACTGTGGTATCTCAGCAGCACGAGTTCTCATCACATCAGGGGCATTGGCAATTATTTTCACAGCCTTCTATGAAGCACAACTCTTATTAATAGTGGCAGTATTGAGTTTAAATATCTCCAGGTACACGGGCGATTATGACAGATTTATTGAGGTTGGGTATTTCACCCTAGTGTTGTGTAAAAGAACTAGAAAGTAATAATTGAGTCGCATTGTGAAAAATGCAATTAACATCTTTGTACGTGTTGTCGAGTGGTAACACTTCGTGTTTTGGAGGTACTGGGTTTATATCTCGGCCCGGAGACACGCAAATGCCGGGATAGTACCTTAAATTAAGCCACGACCGCTTCCTTCCGCATCCTGTCCAATTCATTACTCAGTATCATTCGTCGTTATTTAGTCTTGAGCTACTGAAAAAGTGTTGTTAAATAAACTGTAAATAAATACATGCATATCATCGAGAGAATATTTTTTGTTTAAATATTTGCGCGAATTACTGTAAATTGGATGTTTCTTCTCGTCGCATGTGTTGGATGTACCCGCGTGTATGTGTCATGTATTGAGTAGATGCGCTGAATCATTTGGCCGATAGAGGAACTTGAATACGCCCCCTTCTGGAATTTTTGTGTGTGCTACATTTCTTTTTCCTGATATATCTCTCGCTTTCACATGTTTTCATTTCTCATTTTTTTCGCTAATTCCTGTTCCGTATCTCCCATTCCCTTTTATCTTTCTTGTTTCGTCCCTTATCTCTTTTTTCTTTCTTTCTTTCTTTCTTTCTTTCTTTCGTGCCTCGTTAGAGACAGACGAAGTCAGGAAGTCCGCTCCACTTTGCAGGGATCGGAATGCGCTTCCGCGGTGAGCTGACTGCTGTTTGGTATGTTCCAGGTCTCACGAGGCCGCCCATGTACCCGTTTTCTGCAGGCCAGTACCCGTATCCTATGCTCAGTCCCGAGATGTCGCAGGTCGCCGCTTCATGGTAAGTGACTACAACCACACGATCTTAAGCCATTTCTCTCCTCACAGTCTCCGACCGGATGGGTAGCCGTCGCGGTGTCACTGTGGATTTGTATTTGGGAGGTATCAGGTTCAAACCTTGGCCTCGAATGGTTATCCTGATGCTACTAATCTATCTACTGAGTTCCTACATACTGTAAGATAGTTTTCCAAATTTTTACTTACTCATGATGTATGATATCTCCATGTCATGTGGTACTGACTGGTTAAGAAACTGTAGCAGATCAATCCAGATGCCTAAATGTTGAATTTATGGTAATGAGTAACTTCCTTAATTAAATAACGTAACCAATTAAATGTAGCGAAATTCAGTTACGGTCGGGCTATCACAGCACTTCTGTTTCACAAAATATTGTAAACCGTGAAGCTATTTACCATGCACCTGCTGTAATTAATGCCTCACTTCATACAATTTATTTAAATTATACAGACATTTCAAGAAAGGAAGACAATTTTCACACAAAGAAGAATATCAGTTGATTAATTTTCGTTTTATACGGGTGTTTATGAATAATTATTCTTTCACGGTTGATTTTCTTGAGAAGGGCTGAAGACATACCATAACGTTGTCACATTTTACAAGTTCCTGCCTTATTACTTCCCCGGTGCAACTTCCAATGAATTCACTGTAATTTGAACCAGAGGCCTCTCGAATGTAAGCACCAGTCATTACTTTGCGCTGTCTTGCAGTTGGCTGCAATGCAACTACGTTATATTTGTCTTCAGTGGATTAAATAGGTTCTCCTTTGAGGAAGCCAAGGAGATTATTTAACTATTTTCTTATTAAACCGTTTTCTACGCCTTATTCTGGTGAATTATCCTTCATTTATTTAAAGAATTCTGTAACTAAAATTCAGCTTTTAACTTGTTTTCCTTCCAATTAAATCGATGGCTCGCCAGCGTGTTATTGCCGAAATTTGATAGGAAACGTAGAATGTTTTGTATTGCACACAGTTCAGTAGAATACGTTCTTGAAATCAATTTTCTATTATTTCGCTTTTCTCGTATCTCAGTCGCGAGCAGCTTCCAATTGGCCGTGAACAGAGCCACAGAGCTAGGTTAAAACTTCCCGTGGCCAACCATTTTGTGCTGGTAACAGACCGTGTAAATCCCAATAACGACGTTCCGCTGTACGATCCATCCCAAAAACATTGTCTTCCATTCCTCGTTCTCTTGGAACCCAGAGGTTAATAACCGTCATAAGAACGCACGTTTTTACCCTGTCATGGGCCTGTTCAATTTATTTCCTGTGCGTGCTGGATGTCCTGTCCATCGCATCCTCCATTTAATCACACTGCAGCTTAGACGCGTCGTACTTAACTGTATCCAATTCTTCCATACTTTATTTCCTCTAAATCCAGTGTCCTCCTCATCGGCACTTTGGTCACAGACACCTTCTGTCTGCATTTTGACCTCAAAATTAATTAATTAATTAATTAAAGGAAGATGGATCTGAAGTAGGGTATGGGGTTACAGAATGGAGAATTCCACTGATGGCCTCTAACATGGTATTGGACCTTCGTACTTTATAAAATTTGTGCCATTTCTTAACTGTCTGAGCCACTATCAGTTTCTCAAACAGGACCCTATTCCATGGAATCAGTTAAATTCCAGTCACTTTTCTCCCGTTTTGGACAGCAAGCCGTGAACGATACTTTGATTTAAAATTATGTTAATGCGAAACTTGTCACGTTAAAAATATTACGTACTGCAGATAAAAAAACTCCCAAAAATATGAAGAATGTTTATATTCCAGAGTTTTTGGTAATAGTCATCTTACCTTTTGACAGCACTTAAGAACGTTCAAGAAAATACAGGTTGTCCCAAAACAATTCTGCACAAAACCATTACATACGTCAGCATTGCGTGTGTACATATTTTTGGAACAGCTTGTATAGCAGCGTTCTCGAAGGTGGTTTTCATTTCAAGCGTGTATGAATAACTGATCATTCCTCTAGCCTCTGCGTCCACACCGGCTCTGGGGCCCACCCAGTCTCTTTCGCAACGAATACCAAGGGTTTTCCTCCATGGGTAAAGTTTCTGAGGCGTGATGCTAACCGCTCATCCCCATCTAGTGCCGAGGTCAATAATGATTAGGAGATATATGACCCCCTCCCTCAAGCGCCTACATGGCGGACAGTGGGACAACTTGCACGTTATTATATTATTCGGAGTTCATGTGAGGCGTCTCTGTATGTGTTGCAGTTCGTACTGTGGGTTGACGTTAATGGCCTTGAGACTAAAAGTTCTAGACCCCTGTACGACGTAAGAACATGTTTTCAGGTTGGGCATCTGAAGACAGGCCGTTCCAATCCATTTCATGTATTGTGGGTCTTTTCATCTTCAGATGTCTCGTCTCCATCTACTCCCCTTGAAACTTGCCTATTGCGAACGAAATCGGTTTATTGGGATCACCCCACCCCCTTTCAAGTTTTTTTTTTCCCGATTCTTTCTGGCTTTGCACTAAGAATCGATGGAGGGTGTGGGGTTGAAAGAAATGGAATTGAAAAAGGCGATGATTGGGGCGTAGATTGAAAGGGGGTGGAGGAGGGTAAAATCAAGAGTTATCAGAGGGAGGGGTGCAGTCCAGCGCGTGGTACATATGGCAGTTTCATGTGCAAATGTTTTAGGGACTCTTATTGGAGTGGCGACGTCGTTTTTGAAGGCCTGAAATAGGTTTCGTTTGTTTATTATTATTATTATTATTATTAAGTGTTCTGTCTTACGACAGGTCCATTGCTCTGCCCAAAAAGAGCTCTCCAGTTGTCCCTATTCTCGGCTTCTCGCTTTAATTCCTGGAACGTCATCTTCTTTCCTTGTTTAAGGTCGTCGGTTAGCTGTATCAATCTTCTTCCTAGTCCTCTCTTTCCTTCAACCTGGCCTTCGGTGATATCACTCATTAATCCATTCCTTCTCATAATATGTCCCAGCCAGTTAGCTTTCCTTCGTGTAATCGCCTGCAGAATGTTTCTTTGCTCAAATTAAAAGATGGCTCCTTGCATTTGCAATTATTCTTCGTCGCGTAGGTAAAAATACACCCTGATGCCAATTTACTCTCCATGAATTCTGTCGGAATGTTGCGGAAGGTTCAGATCAGATGTTTTCTGAAAATACACGTCAGTCGATCTTTTAGTTGATGAGTAAGTGCAGTATTTACTCGTGCCTGAGTAATACGTGTCAGCCATTTAATGTATACATGTAAATTACTGATATTTTCAGATTGCTCAAAAGTAACTTCGTAAACTTTGCAAACAGTTATCTTTATTTTGACTACCAATGACAGGCTTTCTCAATCTGTTTGGCTTTGTCGGTGTTGTAAGAGCCGAGGACGTTTCAGGTTGATCTACCATTATCACCGTACATCTACCGAATGCACGAAACAACAAATTACGAACTTTTGAACAACACAACTGCCCCGGACAAGATCATGCGATTACTTGCTTATGATTGAAGGCGGTCTGGAACACGCAGCGCAGCAAGGATAAGGAAACAATATTGAAGTCCAGATGAAGTTTTCACTTTCACTGTGGCCAGCGTGTTACATTGGAACCTCGATATACCGCGGATGTGTTCATGTCCTCCAATACGATTACATATATTTTACGTATAACGCGGGTACTGAAGCTGTCTCCAGAAACCCGCGTTATATCGAGGTTCCACTGTACTGCAGTGTAGGGTTATTTATAAAATGATACCTGATTTCAGTTATAACGTTAAGGGACGGGGGGTGGCAGTTCCTGATTTTTCTGCTCGTTGTTGACTTGAACAACATGTTTCGAACCAATGTGACCATCATCAGGTTCAATTTCCTGCTCACTTCCCCTCCAAAGTTCAGAAATAATGATAACTGTATATTAAAACGTTTATAATTTTGTAAATTGGGTTAAACGTTAAAATACTACCGTTTTGAAAATGGGGGGGGGTTTGGTTTGGGTTCTCGTGGCTCGGAATAAGGTGCATTGGCATGCTTATGTGAACATTATAATACACTTTAACTTTCCATAGAAGACTGTGGAGTAATTAGCTAAGCGAGTGTTTATGTTCTCATGAATGATTCTACTGCATGGGATTATGAAAGTTTTATGATGTAAGATAAAAGAAACATGCTACAGACCTCCTTCTAGGACTCAACATTTATTCTCCTGATAATCCGTATTCATTTCCCCATAATCAATCCAGAGACATCTGAGCCAGCTAAAAACTATTTCATATTCTAAAGTTATTTTGATAAGTTTCATTTTAATGTGATTTTTTCCGTTTGTGCTTTGGTCTTTGAAGTTGTTTTCCAAGCAAAACTTTGCATCCATTTATTGTCTTTCTATGTGCGCTACGTATTTATTGATTTAATCTAACATTATTATCCAGGAAAAGCAGTCGGTGTGTTGATAACTTTTTGCCTAATGTGACTTAATGTTTCAGGCACACCCCTAGTATGTATCCGATCTCAACGGCGGGTGGTGGGTTTCGAAGTCCGTACCCCTCGTCTTTACCCATCACAAGTACAAGTTTATCCAGGTAAGTACCGGCACAACTATCCTGTGCCTTTCCACTCTGGTAGATTGTGATTACGTAGAATTTGAGGTTTTCACGGTGGTGAGTCTGAAGATGGCTGTCTTCTGGGTTGTTACACCCTGAGGTCTGATAGAAGTTTACCGACCTGATGCCCTGATGTTGGCGCAACAACCCAGAAGACAGCGATCTACATGTTTACTGTTCATCTATTTCAAGGTGCTAAGGAGATATATTGGTCAAAATACTAGTCATTTTATGTATACATGCGTAGTGAAAAGAGACCTGTTCTGCCATCTTTCGGCAGTTTTTGTTTTTCTCAGTGTGTAACTTGCAATGGGAACAAATCAAGTGAGGCATTTCTTTATATCTTATTTCCTTAATCCACCATTCGTTGTTAATTTTGTCTCATTTTTCTTATTCTCCCTTAATTTATTCCTTTCTACCATCTTCTCTTTGTTTCTTTGCTTATTATTCTGTCTTCCTCGAATTTAATTATTTATCGTAACCAATAACTGCTTACCGCAGTAAGAGTTTCCCTCGCATTTTCCACCCAGTTCGTTTCAGTAATAAGAAACCTCGTCATATGAATAAGGGATGCGGGTCCCTCCATATTGTTTTACGAATAATAACTCAGTGTCCTGTAGCTGTTATTTATATAGTCGGCGCAGTAGTTTTTGGCCGGTGGAATTTTCAAGGGGAAGGCTAAGAGCGAGTCTCTTATGCGATCGTATAATGCTGACTGCACCGAGGAGCTTATCGGATTGAGCGCCCAAACAAAAGAAATCCACTGACCCTGCCACCTCAGGTACACGGACTAGGCCCGTCCGCCAGCTTCTCCACCGGCCAAAAACTACTGCGCCGACTATAAGAACTCTCAGCAGCTTGCATGTTTAGGATTATGAACCTTATCATAGACGGAGAATGGCTCACTATTCCTCTTCAGTCAAACTGTGGTTTTGATACATAAAACTACGGATGTTACGACTTTATTTTCAAATCGTATGAAAATAGTTTGACCCCACTCGTGCGTGGCATCTGTTTACTCAGTTTTAATTTATAACATTTCAGATTGTTAATTTTTTTGTTCCTGTTAGTCACAGATTTGTTGAACATCGACCGAGGTTTTGTGTGTGTGTGAGTGTAAAGAAACACTTGACGTACATATTTCGTGAAAAATAATGAGTTTCGTTAAAATATTTTCACAGAATATCTGTGAATAATGTCTGTAATGGCAGAAAGAATATATATAGTGCACTGGAAATGTCTGTAATGGCAGAAAGAATATATAGTGCACTGGATGTTGGATTGTTAAAAGACGTTTTTTTAGCAGTAATGTGATTAGAAATAATGAATTGGGAGGAATCTGGGAGGACGTTCTCGTGGCTCGTGTTAAAGTATTATTCCGTAATTCGAATGGAGAGACAAGTGAATCACGAAACTGAATGGATCAGTGGTCCAGTGGTCGAAATTCCAATCCGGGTTCTCTAGAATGCGAAGCATTCAACACGATGGTTTGCCCGGGAGATGAAGGAGACCGGAGTTTGTAAATAACTACATGCACTCATTGTAATATCTACAGCGATGATTTATTTCTACTCATGCCGTAAGTGATGCTAAGTTAGGAGTGGTTGCATCCCTATAGAAGTAAGGGGTTTACGTAAGCATGTACGTAATCTGTCAAAAATTAATTACGTTTTGACGGATTTACAAGTTACAGGATCTCTAGTACACACATTTATTCCTTTCATTTCCTTCTTCGTACAAGTTAAATTTTATAAAGTCAGGTCCACATAAGATTCGGTTAAATGCGTATCGTAACTTCACCACCAATCAGAATTTTTAAAGTGCTTGAATGAATGATTAATGTTGTCACTTATGTAATTCTTACGTTCGTCCTTCTATAGTCAGACTGTCTTCTTTACGTGCGAATACTTGGTAGCATTTAATAATAGTTTACTACGGAATTTTTCTCACTTCAAAATACCCCACCCACCCCCCTCACCGAGTAAAAAATCTCTACCCCTCCCCTTGTCTAATGCCACATGTCACTATATTGTGACACATTCTTTGGCTAATGTGCCAAGGAATGCAGTTTACGCGTGAGGCCGTGTTTTGAAAAATGTCTCACAGGTCGGGTGTGAATTGGGACTGTTTGCGTCCTTTACGTATTCCTCCCCCACTTTATCTCGATTAGCTGGGATATGTTAACGACTGAACGTGTAGAACCACCTGGCAACAGCCTCCTTTACTATAATCCGGTAGCCTATTTGTTCTTTGCAAGCCACCGGATTGGTAGCTATTTGTATACGGCGGGTCCCCTATTCGAACTCCGACCTGGAACTGAGTATACTTTTGACTCCAAGCTTATCTGTTTTATAGACTAGTTAAGGAGTAGCGGGTTTTCCGAGGACCGATAACCTGTCTCAAATTACCCATTACAAATTACAGTTTACTCTCACATCTAAACGTGTCTACATAACTTCAAAAAGACGTCAGTCATATCACCCACGTTGAACATTTGAAATCAAAAAATTATGCACGTGTGTGTATGAATTAGTTTCGGTTGTCCGCCATATCTGATAATACCGTACGATCGTATTTTTGTTCTACAAAGAAGTAACGTAACAAAAGTTTCATAGTCTTAAGACGGCGTGCGTAATTTCAGGACCTTAGCGTCGCTCTCACCCCATAAATTCGCACGTATTTTACGTCGTTATTACTGATTGTACGGAATCAAAAATTGCGACGTTGTGATATCCTCCAGTGGCTTTAAGTTCATACCAATTTTCGTGAAGATCTGTCACCTGATTTATACGCCCCTTGGCTGTTGTGCCTTGTTGCTTGACGTTTTAAGAAAATATCCGCCGATTTTCGTCTCTGTCCACTGACTGAGCACTTATATAAATTCTTGAAGAAACAAACTACGTTACGTTCCAGCGTTTCTTTCGAGTGTCTTAAGATAGCTATTCATCCGGCTGTCCCGGGGGGGAAGTATTTGTGTCGAGAACCTCTTAGACCACAGTCTCTTAAGAGTAGCGTATGTAAGCCATTACTCCTCCTGTTTGATTGAAACGTGTTTTAACAACGAATCCTAATACTTTGTTTTCGTTCTTTTCCCCCCTTCCTTCATCTCTGAAGCGATTTTTACAGGTTTTCACCGACAGGGCTGATTCCGCCGCACCCTGGATTAAGCCCCCATTCCCACCCCCATTCCCACCCTCACTCGCTAGCGTCGCACCCCGCAATCGTCACGCCAGGCCCCAAACAGGAGCTGTCGTCACATCAAGTGGACCACAACCACAGGTAAGCAGATCTGTAGTCGTAAAGAAAACGAACTCGCTCGAAGTAGTCGATATTCGTCTTCTGCGTTGTAACGCCGTGTATACTGAAGATGGGGGCAGTATTTTCCTCCGAAATGTTGGTATCAACTTGCAAACCCACGCGGTTTTACAACCAAGAATATCAACGTCTACCACCATGATAACCTCGTGTCACCAGAAATCGATTACTTCTGGAGGCTTAAGGATAGACCAGGAAATAAAGCACAGCTGTTTAGTGTAATCGAGGGAAATGTTGATTCTCGGCTCTACAACCCGGTTGTCGGTCAGGACAGTGAAATCCAGGCATTTACGTTGAAATTGACCCAAAACAAGGAATGCGTACAGAATTTTGGAAAGCAGCGACTTGCAACTCTAAAGAAGGGTTGTGGGGGGGGGTGTAATATTAAGTTTTGTCTTGTGGAAATAGGTTGTCTGGGTGTGGGGTGAATATAACTCGCTCCTTTCGTGTTGGGTGGCGGACTTCGTTTTACCGCGTGTCGAACCTTTGGGTCCTGCTACCAGAGACTTCGTTATCCTTAACAGTTCTGCCCACCAAACCTGTCACATGGAGCGTTAATTTGATTACCAGAGTTTTTATGTCTTGGGAGGGCCCTGCTAAATACTGCACGCAGTACAGCGGAACAAAGAAATGGTCTGCGTAGAAAGATGAGATCCCTAGCAGCGCGCCTTCTCGATTGTGATTGGTCACTGGCAGGCTCCGTTACCTTGGTAACCGGAGGGTCGTAGGAGGGTGGATGGACCACCAGTAGCGTCCGTCAGGGAAGTAAAGGGGTTCAAGTTATGCAGGGAATCTGTACGTTGGAATGAGGAACGTGAGGGTTGCATTGGAAATGGAAACGGGAGGCGAGTATTCGGACGTGTGCTTGTTAATCGATATTTTGTAGATGGATGCTCTCCCGACATGTTACAGTGGCCAGTGATTTGCATGAGACATCGCAGTGAATTTAATTCGTCCTTTATAACATCCAGGTCTCAATTCTGCAAATTTCTGCAACCAAATTAATTTATTACGGGTTAGTATATCGTCATGTTCACGTCGAGACCAGGGATTTTTCTCTTTGTCACTGGGTTCAAATTTGCTGTTGATAACTGCACACAGTTTCCCATGTAAACCGTCTTTTATCCATTCTCGTAACTTCCATACTGAAGATGGAGGCAGTATGTTCCGAAGCGTCGAAATCTTAGTTTACTGCAGCGAAGCCACTTTCCTCATGTTAGTCGCATTAATGTGAACAATATTCTCTGATAATTATCTTTTGTAATGATTTTGTAGACGCCACGGTGGTCTAGCGGTTAGAACGCTGGCCTTGTAATCCTGGGGGTCTCGGGTTAGATTCCCGGCGGTGCCCGAATTTATAACCTGTGTTGGGCAAGGCCGTGGTCTAGGCAACACGGAGTTTTCCTCCGTGGCATCCCAACAATTACTCCATTCACACACAGAAGAAGGCAATGGCAAACCACTTCTGGATCAGCTGCCAAGAACGTATATGAACAGGTCCCAGGCCGAGAAAAGGATGGAAGGATCCTGTTCATAGGGACCTGTCGTCAGACAGAACACTAAAAATAAAAATAAAAAAATTTCAGGACACTTGCTGTTGTAAAAATACCACACCAAGTTTTACCATCGACACAAGTATACAGTTAAAAACAAATGTACAGTAGTCGGTACCCAACCGTGCGTTTCGCCAACGTCATACCTTGGGGGGGGGGGGGGGGGGAGGGGGAACA